AGACCGCGTTTTTGTCCCTCCTTATTCTTCGCGGAGCATCACCAGGGAGGGGACCATGTGCGAGGCCCCACTACACACGTAGAATCTGGCAGTTCCTTTATTGGGCCAATTTTGCTCATCCCAATAGGGGGACCTTGGCCCAACGATGGGGGCTATAAATACCCTATGTTCCCAGAGGGTCAGGTATTGATCTATTACGCACCTATATATTTTTTGCCTGCTCGTTCCGTCACTCATTTTAGAATCAGAGTGTCTTGCAGGTACCCCCCACATCTCACTCAAGTTCAGCTCGAGCCAGCCGTGACGGTCCAAGTCTGACCCGGTAAGATCAAAATCCAAGAGAAATGATTAATTCGTTGACTTCATGTCATCAAATATATCTAATATGATCGTGCGATACCTCTTTCATACATTTTAGTTTTTACTAATCTTAAGTTAAACTCAATTCTTAAACTTACATTCTTTTAAGCCAAAACTTTGACATTAGGTCATCGCATCTTCAAGATCTCATCCCCACACTCATTTAGCAAGCAGATCAATTTTAACCAGAAAATAAATATTTCAAAAGGTTCTTATAGGATACCATATATACATAGGGTGTTAATACCTTCCCTTTGAATAGCCAACCCCCAAACCTTCAATCTCTTTCAAATGCATTGTATTTTTCTTTACTTTTAGTATTGCACTTACTTTGCATATTTATCGGTTTTATTTCGCATTTTTCTCTTTTCCCTTGGAAATAATAAAGTGCGGTGACAACTCTTGCTTTTTCAAGTCAAGTTAATTAATAACTTGATCTCCAATTTTCACCGCTACACTATCTTTCCAATTCCAACTCATTCTACCTACTACATTCAACATTTTACATCCTCATCAACATATTTTTTAATAAGTTTCTCATTTAACTTATTTTGAGTTTTGATTAATGTATTAGGTAAAATAGGTTACTTTAAATGCATTAGTTAGTATTAGCAATCGAAATAGGAAATGTGTATGAGATGTTTATATGATTTGGATGATTTTTGGGTGGTTAGGGAAATTGTAGGAGATGTTTCTGCCGTTGAAATGAAAAATGAAGCTTTTTCGGAGATGCATCTTCGAAATGGGTCCTTTATGGTGTTTGGAGATGCATCTCCAATTTTTTTTCCTTCCCGGTGCACTAATGTCTTTTTTTTGATGTTTTTTCAAGGAGAATGACTGCAAACAACAACAGAATGAGACTCTGTCGTGAAATCCTAACCGCGTTTGCTTGTCGCGAAAGGGCTTTTCAGCATGAGCATGCCAGAGGTATGAGGGGAGTCGCCCCTAGGCCTTAAGACGGGGAAGCAACGACTTTTAGGAGCCGACTATCACAAAGGTCATCATCACAACCTTGTGTACAGTAGGATGTGGAGGCTTCAACTGCATGTGATGGTCTCCCTCCACTTGCAGACCCTTATACAAGAGGGCACGTTAACACGTCATTACTAATATATTTTGGAGACCATGTTGCTTCGCGTGTCTGGGTCAGAGAGGTATATTTATTAATGGTTCTTATTTTTATACTATAACCAAATTCAATTTGGCTGAGATTGTTATATATTTTTAACACGAACACAAGTGTTTAAAATATGTTAACCATGCCAGAAAGATTCACAAGCTTCCTCAGCCTAAGCAAGAGTGGTTTCTAAGTGTGCTCAAGTACTCAGGTCTTGCTGGTATGTGTTCTTTTGGGTACAACATCATCAATCATGATATGCATGCAGCATTTACTGAGAAATGACATAAAGAAACACCATATTTCCACTTATCCATTGGCAATATGACAATTACATTAGATGATGTCGCTTGCCTCATACACCTTCCCATAAGAGGAAAGTTACTTGATCCTTCTAAGGTCAAAAGGGGTGAGGCAGTGGATATGATGGTGATTTATTTAGGAGTTGACCCAATGGAAGCCCCAATTTAATGTGAGAACATCAGAGGTGCACATGCCAAGTTTTCTTGGTTGAAGACGATGTATAAAAATAACTTGGAGTTGGTCGATGATCCTGATGGTGATGATCTACATGTTGGCTACGACATAGGGTGTACATTGAGGTGTTACTTCTTAATCTTGGTTGCCACTTCCATATTTATGGACGAAAGTGCAACCTACAAGGATGTGACATACCTAGAGTATTTCATCGACTTGTCGACCATTCATAAGTAGAACTTGGGGGTCGCATGCTTAATATACTTGTACTATAAGCTGAACGAAGGTTCTCTTTGGAGGACAAATAAATAATATGCTCCTGCACATTGCTGACGATAATTTCCATAGCCAATATTAAGTTAAAAACAACTTTTTTTACACTTGTTACTATTTTTTTTCTTATTCATTTCAGGGATGGATCCATTCCCACTTTCACAATATACATGGGTTTGAGCGTGTGCAATCACATACTAAATATTACCCACGTGCTTGTATGCATCGCCCTTGTAGAGAGAATGATGTTGTGGTGTCGTTCTATGTGTATATTGACCGGACTCATCATGATGGCATCGGTTAGATGCCATATACTTCTCACTGAGAGAGAATTTCGTTCGACCATATTTCATTATACTCTGGATGATTGGCATGTGGAAGTAGGATCATGTGCAGATATCTGCCATATCGGTGCATGCAACAATTTGGATACATGTAAATCATTCCAAGGTCCCCCTTCGAGGTTGCTTCCGAGAGCATTGTCCGCAGACATCTGAATGACATTCTGACGAATTTTGAGAGTTATATGGTATCGAAGGAGTATCAGAGGGTGCACGCCACACCTCACTGGAATTATGCTAAAGGTTACATGACTTGGTTCTATTATGTGTCATAACCTATGATGACACTAGACGCTTCTAGACATTCACATAAGCCCGCTCATGAGGAGATTCTGGAGAATAAGCAGGCCAGAGATGGCCATGTCGTTATTGTGTTGTCCATCTGTCTAAATATTATACGAATTACTTATGAGGCCATAAAGTTTGGACTGTTCGAGAGAGGTGGCGATGACGTGGTTGCCCTAACATGTTACATTCTTACTTATACACGTAATACCTTGGGTTACCGTCGATAGATGAGGAGTCAGAGGGTTAGGATTAGACATACTCAGTAGATTGTGCACTTGATTGTATTTTGAGATGCTTTAGTATTTCTTTCCATACTTTAAAAATAATTTTTGTACTATGATTGTCTTTTTTAATTAACACATTACTTTGTTCTATGATTTTTGTGTCTATTAATATTTGAATCAAATAATGATGTTAATCGAATTAAAACGACTTTGGATTTATGTTTCTTTACAAGAAACTTGCAGACAAGATTTCGGAGATGCATCTTCGAATTTACCCCAGAAATATTTGCAAATACATCTCTGAACTATTTTTTTCTAGAAATGAGGTGACTGTTTTATTTACGAAGGAAGTAAGATAATTTTGAAATATATTTGCGACTTTACCTCAAAAAAATTTACAATTACATCTCCAAATTAAATTTTAATGAAAACTAAAATTTAGTACATTCGAAAATGTATTTTAAAAAAAATCCAAAAATATTTTAGAATTTTCAGAGAAAAGAAATTACAAAATTTTCCTAATGATAATGTACCCAAAGAGCCTAGTTTGTATCAAGCCCACACACATGAAGGCCCATGAAACTGAGGAATCGTCCCGTATACGAAAGTAAAACCGGGGAACGAAGCGGTTACCGCCACCGCCACGCTGGCCTTTGAAAACTTTTTACTTTCTCTTTCCCACTTTATTTATTCATTACAAAATTTCACATTAATTTCTTCCCGCGCGCACTGTTTCTCTTTCTCTCCTTCCTCTTCCTCCGCAATTCGATTTCACCACCTCCTCCGTTTCACCTTCTCCAAGGTTCCAATCTCTATCCATCTCAACTTCTTCAATTCCACTCGTTTCTCTTAATTTCACTTCTTAATCGCTCTTCATTCCTAAATTACTTCATAACTATACCTGATTTCGATTTCCATGCCGTGAATTTGAGTATCGTTACTTTTCACCTTGTTCTTCATTTTATCAGTGTTTTTCGTGTCGATTTTCGCTCTTGATGTAACGTAGTCGCTTAATTTGCGTCTGCATTCGAATTTTGATGTTCCTCGTAATTTGAATCAGGTAGCTATAGTCGAATTAGGGTTTGCGGTTCGTGATTTACGATCCTAGTACTGGATTGGTTTTCTGTTATATGATTGTGATTCAAATCACGATTTGGACCGTGGGATTGACTATTAGATCTGCTTCCATTGTACTTTTGTATTCTCTTATCAGATGTTTGGTATATTCGATAATTGTGTAAATTTAAGGGTGAAAAATATTTAAGGGTGAAAAATTAAAGATTATTATTTATTTTTATGTATAATTCTATTGAGTAGAGAAGGAAAGGGGGTTAGTTACTAGTTTAGGTGGTTTTGCCAATTTTTTCATTCTGACATACTAATTTGTAGATAGTGCATAATTCTTATCAATCAAAATTGTACTAAATTTCGCGTTTAATATTTTTATAGTAATATCGACTTCCCTTAGTTGTTTAATTAGACTGTTGACTCTCGAGGTGGTGAGTGTTGCATGATTAAACAAATAAGGGAAAGAAAATGTTTGTTTCAAATATTGAAATGGAGTTTGTGTTATTTAAACAAATTTAAGACGAGGGTAGTGCAATTTTCTCTTCCTTTTGAACTAGTACATTTGTGCCTCTGTTTTAATTCCGATGTTTGAAAGTTCTTGAGAGCTGGCAATTGACTACACATAATAATCTGAAAATCTGTCTGGACTTTTGATGTTATACTGTAGGTACTGAAAGTGAGCATGAATGATTTTTGTTTCATTAATTTTCTGCCAGCCAAATTTAAATACACTTTTGTCTTTAAATGCTCTTCTAGTTTGTTGCTTGTGTTTTTTCTTCTTCTGGTCATTTGTTCTTTGTTAAGAACCATACCAACAGAGATCATTAACACTCTCAGGAAGGTTGAACTATCATGAAAGCAGGAAGGTCGAAAGAAAGCAAAGCTGTTAAGGCTTCTGGAAAATCCGGCCTAAAGACAAGATCTGCTAGAGTGAAAAATTCTTCCAAGAAAGCAAATAAATCGGATCACAAAGCAAGAGGTGACTAGTTTTTACCAATCTACCGTTTGTGTTGATTTTAATAATTGATTGGTTTCATTTTTGTCATCCCTCTTGTTGTACTTGATCTGCTGTGTTTGTATGAAATAATTTAGCTAAGATTGAATTTGTGTAGGTTCAATTAGTCTGCTAGCGACGTGTTAGTTAAAGAAATGTTTTTTAATGAATGAGGCAACACTACTTTTGAAACCTATATAAAGATTCACTTTCCATTATTAATATGCATTTTTTTTAATAGTTAAACTTAAACCCTTTTCTCTATAGGTTGCAGTGAGGAATTGTTGTCTGACAAAGAGAATCAGCATTTTCCAGTTAAGGAATCTGGGGGATTGTGCCCAGAACTTCCTACTGAAGATACATTTCATGTGAAATTGAAAGAAGCTCTTGAAGTTGATCTTCATCCAAGACAAACACTCACTTCTTCTGCAAAAATCAAATTGCAACTTTTTCCAGCAAATGAAGAAATTCGAACAGGACTTGAAAAGGTTACATGGTGGCATATGAAATATTTGCACAAATTTGTATACTTTCCAATGTCCTAGTCTGCATGTATTAAGTCTGGATGCTTAATTTATTTTCTTTTTCAGGACGGGCATAATCCATACTTAGAACTCACGCTAAGTGGTAGAAAGAAAATTTCTTCAGTTCTAAGACACATTGAAAAGAAGTGGGGAAGTTCAAGTACAGCAAAAGGGGAGCCCATGCTTTTTCCTTACGACAGAATGGAAAATCTATCTGATTGCAAAAGATGGACAATTAATGATAGTGACACTACAGCCACATCTGTCTATGCAGCTGTTGGGAACCCCTCAATTTTCCGGTTGAAGTATGATAACCAATCATTTTCTATGATAATATTTTTTTCTACGTTGAAATTAGGTAGTTTGTGTTGTAAGTTGTAACTCTTTCTCTCTACCTTTTAAAGGTATGGTTGGTTTAACATACATGAACCTACATCATTGGGTATATCCTCCATGCTGGTTCCCTGTGAGTTTGGCGTACAGTCTGGAGGAACAGATACAGGTTGCATTGCTAATTTAGAGGCTTTATGTGATGAGCGGGACAAGATTGAGGCAACTGCAGAATACAAAACAACTGACGTGGGCAATGTGACAAGTGAAATTGTGGCTCAGAAAATGAACAAGGAATCTACTAATCCTCAGGTACAGTTTCTTAGATATTTTGTTCTGTGTTACAATAACATGAACATAGGTTCATTGCATTGAATTACACACGGATTTTATTTTAAAACACACGATGTTGCTAGTGGATCTGGTTTATACAAATATTAGGCTCCATTTACTTTTATCTTTCCATTTTGCAATCCTGAAATAAAAAATGTGTGTAAGCTGTAAAACCATGTTTAACTTTGTCCAGCTGTTCTACAGTGAATTTCAGAAAACAAAATCAGTATTGTTTTCAAATTTTGTAAATGTTGAAAAGTTCTTTTCACAGTTTCCGAAAATGCCAGTGTTACTCGCAACCTACAAAATGGCTGTTGAAATGAAAATTTACATATTTTGATAACATTTTTGGGAAGTAAACCCCCCTTAGTTTTAGATGTGTAGATTGAGGAATATTAAAATGGTTTTGGTGATTGTTTACTCTTTGACCAACATAATTAATTATATGAAATTTTTTGGCATATATTATATGGACGGTTTACAAGAAAAATTAAAAGTTTAGTTAATTAGCACATGGATGGCTTAAACTTAAAAATACCTGTTTTTTTTTTTTTTTTGCATTAATAAAATTCTTATTAATTTTTTTATGGTACTGTATTACATGTTGGTGGTTGGTCCTGAATTTCAAAATGAATTCATAATACCAGTTCTCTATCAGTTGACATGTAGCATGTGTTATTATAATAAAAAACTCAGTTCCAGTACGATCCATAAAAATGTTTGTTTTCTAAACATGCTCATTTTGTTTCTAATCATGCTTGTTTCCTTTCTAACTAGGATAATGAGCCAAAAGAAGGTTGCAGCCTTCAACAAACATCAATGCAATGGGTTGATTGTCTAGACAATATAAGCATTGGCGGCCTCCTGTCAGAAGCATCATTACTGGGAAAGTTTGATTCAAAATTATTTGGCAGCAATGCCACCAGTCAAACAGGTCATTTAATATCAGATTCATTGGATGCTTTTATCAACTGCAGAATTAATCATCCTCCTGTTTCAACACAATCTGCTGGAGCCATGCGCACCTCAATATTGGATGCTGAAGAAACATGTCATGCATTTGCTATCAAGAAGTTATCTCCCCCCGCTGTGCAAACTGCTAGTGCAACAGAAACAGCTTATTCTGGGGCCTATGGTCAGGATGTATCTTCAAACTTATTCAAGCTTCCATGTACAGACAAGGTCAGTTGCTAACAATCTTTATCGAGATCTATTCTTACTGACCAAGTTCTTTTATTGTTTCTTTTTAGTTACTTCTTTTCTTCCAACTGAATAGTTACTTTTGAAATAACAAGATCTAAGATTTATAACCAACCTCTGCACCTCTAAATTGCATTTGATGAGGAAAATTGACTTTTTTGTTTTACATCCCAAATGTTTTGGTCTTCAACTTAGGTTTGAAAAAGATAAATGTTTTTAAGAAGACAACGTGTAATTGGTTTTCATCTGCTCTTTGAAATAGAATGCTTAAAGTTTCAAGTGAACCTAAGGCTGCAAAAAATGCACTGCTCATAGAACAACTTCTAATGTTGCATTAAGATGGAAATCAGAATTCAAATTGGTGTCTGATTGAGATTATGTTTCTATTTGTAGACTATAAGTTCAATAGAAGCTGTTTTTCAATCCATTATTATTCATTAAACTGCACAGTCTCTTATGGTTTTTATAAAGGTTAATGATCAAGTTGGACTTTCACAAAATCCCCCTTCTCAGAAGCTTTCTTCACGTTTGTTTGATGATGAAAGAAGTCTTGGGTTAACAGGCATCAACTGGGTATTTAATATTTATTTTAAAGCACTTCGGTGTTTGTTTTGTTTTTTTCTTGATTTTTTATTGAACTAATCTATTTTCTTAATGCAGAATGACTCTTTGGGACCTTTCGATCTTGGCATGCCAGCAAAGAAACGCATTGGCGGGGACAGTATTGGTATTGGTGAATTTGTTAAATAGGAGCTTAGATGTAAGTTAGTGTCTTTGGTTTATAACTGAGGCACATTAGAATGTACTTCTAAATAAATTGTTGTTGTGAACTCAACTCGTGTCTCACCTTTTCCAACTCCAAGCCAAACACACTAGTAGAAAAGAAAAGAAAAGAACTTTTTTTGTTACTTTATAGAATCACTTGTTGTAGAGAGTCCACAGACCATGGTGAAAATGATAAGAAAGAAACGAGGGATAGAACTGAGTTGCCAAGTGTTAAAGTCATAGTTTGGGGATTTGCTTTTGCTCTTTTATATTAGTTCTGATATATACTTAATATTTCGATTTGGTTGCTTTGCCAATTGCCATATAGGTTGGTGTCAAGTGCTCATAGTTAAAATATAAATAAGATCATTAGGTTATTGTTTCTAATCTTTCAACTACAATGCAAACTGGAAGAAGGCTATTTATATTCATAAAATCAACAATTTAATGTTCAAGTTTTTAAAATAAGTTTTTATATTTCTAAATATTTAGACCATAAATAACAATTTATAATATTATTTATAGACTCAATAAACAAAGTTTAATAGATTTTATTTTATTTAAGTAATATTATTTTTAGCATTGAAATTAACCTTTATTATACGGTACTTCAAATTGATTGTTTATATATTTTTGGCGAAACTTGACTATAATATAAGCTAAATTTAATATTTTTGGTGAAACTTGACTATAATATAAGCTAAATTTAATATTTGTTAAAACTCTTATGCAAATATTGAAAGATATCATGTAAAAAGGAGTGTAATGTTTGAACAGCGTATTTTAATGTGGAATTTCAAAAAACGTGAAGATTCTGTATTCATTCAAGTTAAAAGCTAGAAATAGATTGAAGCCTGGCTACAAAATATGCATGATTATGAAAGAGTTACATGAAGAAATGGGTTCATAATGTAAAATGAATTTACTCTACGGATGTTATTTCGAGTACTCACCCATCTAAATGCAAAGGAGTGCAGTGAAAGGATGAGTAGAAAATTAATTAATTTGGTAAAAGGAAAAAAAAGAATGTACGAGTTTATCTATTTATGGTAGCACCGTGAGGTGTGAATGTATGAGGGGTTCGTTAAGAACATAGTTGTATAGTTTCATGCTTAATCGCCATGGACGGAGATAGCTAAGTTATAGTGACGACATTGAAATGATCCTTTCTCATAATTCCAAAACAAAACATCCCAATTCTCAATCATGCCGGCAACTATCTGCAAAGGAAACTTCCATGCACCTTCCTTTTCACCTTATCTATATATCTTCTTTCACCTGTTTCCTTTTTTTTTTAATATTAATTCTTCTATATATATCTAGCCCAAGAGTATGTTTCAAGTTCATTCTTTCCGAAACATAGATAAATATCATGGGATGTGTTAGTAGTAAGTACACTCCCCCTCGAAACCGAAACCGACATGTTGAGAGGTTCAAAGATCAGTATGCACTCAAACCTATCATCCATAACAGGAATCATCCATCCAAACATGTTCAAGTGAAGACTAAGAAGAGAGTTGTGATTGTGAATACTACTACTGCAACAGAAGAGGGAGATAGGATTGATGATAAGGTAAAGGATGTAGCGAGAGATATTGATGATGATAAGTCTGAGGAAAAGAAGAAGAAGATGAATGCAATATATGATGTTAAAGTGGAAGAAGACGAGTGGCCCAAATGGCTGGTTGATAATATCTCTCAAAACGTTTTAGCTACTTTGATTCGCAAGACTGCTGATTCCTATGAAAAACTAGGAAAGGTAAGTAATTATAGTAACTACATTAAGCACTTTTTTTACATGTTAATGTTATAGTGACATGTTGATGGTTATTGTAGGTAGGACGTGGAACATATAGCAATGTATATAAAGCTAGAGATAAGGACAGTGGAAAGATAGTTGCTTTGAAGAAGGTAAGATTTGACACTTCTGATTCTGAAAGCATCAAGTTTATGGCAAGGGAGATTATGATACTGCAGACTTTGGATCATCCCAATGTTATCAAACTTGAAGGACTAGCAACATCAAGGATGCAATATAGTCTTTATTTAGTCTTTGAATACATGCAATGTGATCTTACTAGGATTATCTCACGCCCTACAGAGAGACTCACTGAACCACAGGTTAGAGTTTCATTCCGCTCCGTTCCACTTCATTCAGTTCTACTTTATTTTAATGCGTCAAGTGCTTATATATTTTATATTTAGTTCAACACTCGGTGATAATATGATAACAGTGTAGTTTGGTTGTATTTTGTACAGATCAAATGTTACATGCAACAACTGCTTTTGGGACTTCAGTATTGTCATGAGAGAGGAGTTATGCATAGAGATATTAAAGCTTCAAATTTGTTAATAGATAAAAAAGGGGTGTTAAAAATTGCTGATTTTGGGCTTGCGAATTCTTTAAAAGTAAAACCTAAAGGACCTCTTACAAATAGAGTTGTGACACTTTGGTATAGAGCTCCTGAACTTCTTCTAGGTTCAACTGATTATGATTATAGCATTGATATATGGAGTGTAGGTTGTTTGTTGGCTGAAATGTTTATTGGAAGACCAATTATGCCTGGGAGAACAGAGGTAAAACTTAATTTAGACTTTATGAAAGAAAAAAATGTAGTGAAATATGTACTATATATCAATTTAAATGAGCATTTTCTATGCATATAGATTGAACAGCTTCATATGATATACAAACTTTGTGGTTCACCTTCAGAAGATTACTTGATAAAAATGAAGCTAAAGACAAGCTTTCGGCCACCACAACGTTATAAAGCTAGTTTTGAAGAAAACTTTCAGGATTTTCCTTTGTCTGCTCTTGATCTCTTGACTACGCTTCTTGATTTTCACTCCCAAAATCGTGGCACTGCTGCCTCTGCTCTTCAAACTGAAGTCAGTTTTTCTCTTTTTGCTTTTATTTTATCTCTATACTTTGTTACAAAGAATTAGCAAAATTGAATAGACAATGATTTATAGTATCTGTTGAAGACATATCGTTTTTATATTTCAAATTACAATTTGACAAGTCTTTACTTCTTGTAGTTCTTCAAATCTCATCCATTAGCATGTGACATCTCAGAATTACCGGTGATAATCAATAAAGGTGATGATGAACGATCTCAAAATAAGAGACGCAAAAGGTATGCAATCATTCTAAAATTGAAAAACCATTGCAGCATTGAACTAAACTGATCAGTTGTTTATGGCTGCTTTTCGCGATATAGGCGCAAAGGTTTGAAAAAAGGGCAATTATCTAAAAGAAGTGAAAGCAATTTAAGCCTGTCAGGAATGAATCAAACTGCTGAACAAGGCAAGACAGATTCAGAAACATCAAAGGAGGTCAGTTACATGTGTTTCACCAAAATAATTTAAAACTAGTAATTGGATTCCTTCTATCACACAGTTGTCATTTAAAGGTGAAGATTTGTTGTAAAGAAAGGTTCGAGATTTGGAAACATGAAAGAAAAATATTAAGAGAATAACCTGTCAATCTACTGGCTTATCTTAATTTTGCAACGATAGTTATAATTTAGAGAATAACTTGTATCCTTTGGTTTTCACAGGAGAAGGGTCTAGGACAAACCATGCCGGGACAAGAAACAGGAAATAGTGGAAGCAGCAGATCTTCATCAATATTTACTAGCGAAAGGAGCTTGAATGCATCTATATCCCCGGTTTTTCTCTCCAGCAGTAAAATATCCCCCAAAACTGAAGGTCATCCTAATGCTCTTAAGAATATAAAGAACTACACACTCTTACAGGCATCTATCCTTGATATGATCAACCCAAAAGAAGGCAACGATTTTGGTCAGTTTCGCAGGTCCTTCTCTACATTGGACTTTCGGCTTGATCCTGAGAAGCTATCAAGTCTCTACGGATCCAAGTTGGACCATGAAGTGTGACTCTTGTTCCATAATGCACGTGGTCTAAAGTTTCAACATTTTAGTTCTAATACCATAGTAATAGAGGAGAAACAAAGAGATGAAATGGAGATAATTTCTACTTCAGGCATATTTCCTCTGGAAAGAAAATATAAGCAAAAAGTATATCTGAAAAGTTGAAGTATCTGGTCTTGATTTTAACTAGATAGATGCCACTTTTGCTTATATTTCATTCTGGAGGGAGTATGCCATATATGATGATTGCATGGAAGATGGCTAAAATTTGAAAAGTCCACGGGATTCCCTGCCATATCCATGATGATTACCTTGTACCTCGTATTCAATCTTCGAGTTTCTTTTCTTTACATTCAAAATGTGATGCAATTTAGAAATGATAGCCCAGTCATCGACACACTTTCTTAAACACGGATTAAATATTATATTGACAAAGCTATCTACTATTCATTAACGTTCAAAGAAATCAGCACCATTCTCAACATCATCTGTTCTGATGGTTCCCTTTTGAGCCATTAGAATTCTATACACTCGCTTTGAGCAAACCTCGCCTAACTTTCTGTCACCACCAATCAAACCTTCTGTCATTAAGTCTTTGAGTAAAAATTCTTTCTCATGCTCCTGTGGTAAAAAAATAGTCTTATTTATCTTGATGCCTCTTCTATCATTAAGAAAGACAATAAATAATTCTGGCTCTTATTTCATCGGCAACTATTTGTAACTAATGCAACTAAAATTTGACTGTGAACTGTGTGGTCCATATCAGGAAGGTTAAAGCAAACAAATGCAATCTTACAGCACGCACCGATTTAGTTGGATCCATATAGACACTAAACAGAGACTTCATTGTTGGGTATTTTTTCCAAATAGCAATTGCGAATCGCGGTTGTACCTTGGGGATAGCAACCAAAGCTTTTAACCTAGTGCAAGCAAAAGTAACAATAAGTTATATTGGTATATCATCCAATTGTCAGATTATACAGGTGATAAAAGATGTGTTCCTAATTATATTTTTGATTTGTGAACATCAAAATACTGAAAAAAAAGTCCTACAGATTATTAGCATCTTGGAAGATTTAGAAATATTGCACAAACTATAATGTCCAATTATTAGCATCTTGGAAGTTATTAATAGCAAATTAGTACACCATTTTCAATCTGCATAAACATTAAAAAGAAATAAAAAGTAGCTGTGATATTTAATATGTTGGACGTTATTATAGAAGAAAAAACATTAATTCTTAGGTATGCTAATATACTAAGCAAATAATAAAACGAATAAGGACATGATGAAAACAAAACTTAAAGATAATCTATGAATAAAAATATGAAAATCACTCACCAAGTGGATTTCTTTATTAAGTTGCGGTCAACGCTGTCCTTTGAAACAAGAGATCCATTTGCATTTACAGATAACCTAGTTAACTTCTTTCTGCAGTAATAAATGAACCAATTTGATGTAATATTAATATTAATTAAAATATGATAAGATAAATCAAACAACTCGATAGGGAACGAATTTACAATTTACAATGCTAAAAAGTAGGTATTTTTTACTGTGTCTTCCAAAGTGACGTCAATTATAGTACATGTAATGAGTTATGGTGAACTGAAAAAATATGCGCTTCGATAAATATACAGAAACAAACAAAATGTACGAAAATTGGTGGAAAAAAAAGAAAATTTAAAAAGAAATGGTGGATTTATTTATGTTAATATAAATATACATAGCAAAGACTCGGTATACGCCTCAAATTACATCTCTCTTCAACCCACCCTTTAACGGATTATTTTCTTTTGGGGTAAAACAGGGAAGAAGCCCATCCTTTTAATAGATATAGAATAACTGATTTTACATGTATAGCATATAACGGTTTTCTTCATCAAAGTTTGACAGGACTCTAATTCAATTCAAGAAATAGAGGCACCAAGTACCTAAACTGACAAGACGCCAGACTGCATGTCAAACCAACAACATGTTCAGCTAGTTCAGCTTCATCTACACACAGTCTGGAATGTATTTTGGCAAAATTAGTTGTTAATTTTGCTAGTACCTACAAGACAATTCAAAACAAATAAGATTAACATGCTTATATAAGAAGGTAAAGACTTAAAACTTGACCTATTCATTGTAATTTGAATATGGAAGGCCAGTTACTCAACCTCCTCAACGGGCGGACGTCTCCAACAAGTATTGTTTTCTGGGTTCTTGTATTTTTCCTGCTCCCTAATGGATCATAAAAATCAGTTTCAATATGAGAATATTTTGAAAAAAATAGGCTGAAATATCAGAAAACCATTGGCAGATATTTTAAAAACATACATACAGTTGAGAGTCAGAACTCAGTGACTAAGTAGCCTTACTTTTGCTGAAAGGCACTGCACATTATGACATTATTGCACAAGGTTTTCCAAATTTCCTCAGTTATACAAATTCAATATATTCAAGAGAGTTTAGCAAATGAGTGATGAGTCAGATGTGTTTATTATAGTTTGAGTTTGACAGGTTATGAGTATAAGAGTATGGCAAATCTAACCCGTTTATTCAAATACACGTGTAACGCAGAAAAATTAAGCACTTCAAACTTTTTTCCCTTCTATTTATTTCGGGAGGTTGATTGAAACTGGATATTAAGTTATTGGACATGGAGGTTTATAAAAATAAGTTATTATATGAGATTGATTGGCAAATACACACCACAGATACGCATACACACACATTAGGGACATAGTATAATGCACCAAAGCATAAATATCTGTAATTGCCTACTAGATTTGAAGTACTAATAAACATATATCACTCACCTTTTATTAATGTAAGAAAGTAACCTGTTTGTGAGGTAACAAACAGTATAAGCTGGATAATGATTTCGAATGCTATTGAGTTGCTCAAAAAGAGAATCATTCACGGCAAGGTTACAAAATTTGTCGGCCTCATAAACTAGTAAGACATATGGAATCTCAATTCGTTCAGTGGAAAGCTGCAAATAATAAATGAAATTGGTATCAGTGAAGAATAAAATATTAGAGATATAGGGGTAATCTAGTAATAGTCTAGCAAAAGGGAATTAGACTAGTGTCTAATTCCATTTCTATCCCTTATCCTTTCTATATAAAGGAACTGTTGTAACTGAATCAGTTAAGGAATTACAAATTCTGTTATACAATCTCTCTCTCTCTCTTCTCTTTCTCTATACTCTCTCTCTCTCTTCTCTGGAACTTTAACATGGTATCCAGAGCTTATCTCTGATCCTCGGCGCTCATGGCTCCTCCGTCGCCGTCTACCACCACAAGCGGTGACAGCTCCGCCGCTGCAAACTCTACCTTCAAACAGAAGATCTCAGTCAAGCTCGATGAGAACGACTATCGACAGTGGAAACAACAAGTCGAAGGAGTTCTTCGCGGCACAAAAATGGTGCGATTTGTCATATCACCTCAGGTACCGGAACGATACCTCACTGTTGCCGATCGCGACGTTGGAAGTGAGAACCCTAGCTACGTCGCGTGGAAAGAACAGGATGCGCTGCTGTGTACGTGGTTGCTATCCACGATTTCCGATTCACTCCTCTCTCGATTCGTTCTTCTTTGCCATTCATGGCAAGTTTGGGAAGAAAATTATGTGTTTTGCCATACGCAAATGAAGACTCGGTCTCGTCAACTCAGATCGGAGCTTCGCTTCCTCTCCAAAGGTACTAGAACCATCTTTGAATTCCTTGCTCGCGTTCGCACTATCGTAAATACGTTAATGTCAATTGGTGATTAGGTCCTTCAACGTGACCAAATTGAATTGATTCTTGAGGCGTTACCATCGGAATTTGACTCTGTTGTTGCTGCTGTTAACTCTAAGTCTGAGTTCATCTCTCTTGATGAGTTGGAATCGCTTCTCCTCACTCAAGAAGCTAGAGTGGAGAAATCCAAGAAAGAAGTTGTTAGAGATTGTTTCTGTGAACCTTACTCAAGGTAATGTGCAGAATTCCAATCTCAGTCCTCAAAACCCTGATATCACTGACTCCAATGGTGGAAATTTCCAAAGCTATGGTCGTGGTAACTACTCTCAAGGCAGAGGCAATAGAGGTGGAAGGTTCAAAGGACGTGGTGGCTGCAATGGCTACAGGAACTCTGTGCAATGTCAGATATGCTACAAAACTGGTCATGATGCTAGCTACTGCTCCTATAGACACTCTCAAGACTCTTATGGTGTCTATCCCCCTTATGGTGCACCTGCCTCATTTGGAAATTTTGGCTTTGGTCAACCAAATGTGTGGACTCAACCTGAATTTAGGGCTCCAAATTCCTTCAAATATGAACCAAGTTAGACCTATGGTTCCAATCATGGCATCTCAGTACTCTGGTGTTAGGCCCCAGGCACTGATTGCTGGCACTGATTGTTCTTCATTCTACAACCAGGCATGGTATCCTGACTCAGGAGCTTCACATCAGGTGACTCCAGATGCCACAAATCTCACTGATACTGTATCTCTGTTTGGTAATGATCAAGTTCACATTGGCAATGGCCAAGGTTTGTCCATCACCTCTCTTGGTTCTATGACCTTTCCTTCAAATTTATGCCCTAACACTTCTTTAAAATTGAATAATCTTCTTCTTGTTCCATCCATTTCTAAAAATCTGCTACGTGTGAGTCAGTTTGCCAAAGATAATGCTGTATTCTTTGAGTTTCATGCTAATGCATGCTTTGTGAAATGTCAGGGTACTTCTAAAGTGCTTTTAAGTGGTTCTCTTGAGAGTGATGGTCTATATAAGTTTGACTGCACTCCTCCTCCTGCTTTCTCTCAAGTCCTCAGTGTTGTTTGCAAGTCATCTAGCTCCAAGTCTCAACCTCTTTCTTTAGAATTTAGCTATGTGTTCAATTCCAGTTGTAAGAATAGGAACTTAGATTCAGTTTCTAGCCTGTACAAAATGTGGCACAAGTTGGGTCACCCTCATCATGAGGTTCTAAAACAAGTTCTCAAACTTTGTAATATTTCAATTCCTAATAAACAGTTTTCTGACTTCTGTAATGCCTGTTGCATGGGTAAGGTACATAGGTTACCATCTACCTCATCTAAAACTGTTTACTCAAAATCCCTTGAACTCGTGTTTTGTGACTTGTGGGGGCCATCACCAGTTCCCTCCATCTCTGGCCATGCATCTTTCCTCACCCGTGTTGATGCTCATAGCCGTTATACCTGGATTTATCCTCTTAAACTAAAATCTGACACACTTCCCACACTTGTTCAGTTTAAAGCTCTTGTTGAGCTACAACTCAATCTCAAAAGTAAGTCTGTGCAAACAGATGGTGGAGGTGAATTCAAACCATTGACACATTTTCTAACCATGCATGGCATAACACACAGAGTCACATGTCCACATACTCATCATCAAAATGGGTCTGTGGAACGTAAACACAGACATGTTAAGACAGGTCTCACCCTTCTTGCTCAAGCTAACATACCCTTAAAATTCTAGGACCATGTTTTCCTCAATGCTACCTACCTCATAAACCGGCTCCCATCTCCTTCCCTGCATAACAAATCACCCTTTTTCCTACTACATTTTCAATTCCCTGACTACAAGTTCTTAAAGGCCTTTGGTTGCTCTTGTTTTCCTCATCTCAGACCCTATAATTCTCACAAACTAGCTATGCATTCCAAGGAATGCTTATTCTTAGGTTATTCTGCATCCCACAAAGGTTATAAGTGTCTTGATTCCACTGGCAGAATTTTTGTATCTAAGGATGTAATATTCAATGAGGACAGGTTCCCATACACTTCCTTATTTCCTAACTCATCATCTAAATCTGTTTCTACATCCTCCACTACTCCTTTTTCTGGGCCTTCATCTGGACATCCTATTCCTCTTACATCTGTTGGTCCTCACTCACACTTTCAGTCCCCTAACAATTCCATTGGTTCTCCAAATATCTCTCAGGAACCTAATCAATTTGTGTCCATGATCCCTGCTCATTTCACTCCTAGCAGACAGTCCTCTTTCAGCAGCATTAATCCTGACACTGTGCCTGCCTCTCCCTCCTAGTCTGCCTCCACTTCTCAAAATTCTGTCCAAAATGAAATAGCTTCTGCTGACTCTTCAACTGTGTCTCCTCAAGTTGATATTGTACCCTCCTCAGTGGTCATTGGCAATAGCATAGCCTCCTCCCCATCCATTAAACATTCCTCCCCTGCTCCACCTATTCATCCTCTTAACACTCACCCCATGGTTACTAGAGCTAAAGATGGTATTGTCCAACCTAGGCTGCACCCCACTCTCCTTTTCACTCACTTGGAACCAACCTCACATAAACAAGCTCTATCTATTCCTGAGTGGCAAACTGCAATGAAAGCTGAGTATGAGGCATTAATTAAAAATCACACTTGGTCTTTGGTGCCTGCCCCTGATCATAGAAAATCCATTGGCTGCAAGTGGGTTTTCAGAGTCAAAGAAAATGCAGACGGGACCATTAATAAATATAAAGCAAAACTGGTTGTCAAGGGTTTCCATCAGATAGAAGGCTTTGACTATACTCAAACGTTTTCACCAGTTGTGAAATCCGTTACAGTGAGGACTGTTTTAACACTTGCCATCTATAAAAATTGGACCATACAGCAAATTGATGTCAATGTTTTTCTAAATGGAGTGCTTAATGAAGAAGCGTATATGGTGCAGCCACCGGGATTTGAAAAGGGTGAGCCTGGTTTGGTTTGCAAGCTACACAAAGCTCTATATAGGCTTAAACAGGCTCCTAGGGCCTGGTTTGATAAACTCAAAGGGTCCCTTCTCCAACTGGGTTTCACTGCCAGCAGGTGTGATCCCTCCTTATTCATGATGCTCACACCATCCTGCTACACTTTAGTGTTGGTTTATGTTGATGATATTATTATCACTGGCTCATCTTCTTCTTTCATCAAGCAGTTGGTTACGAAACTCAATCTGGCCTTTTCTCTCGAAGACTTGGGCAAACTAGATTATTTTTTGGGCATAGAGGTGACTCATCTTCCCAATGGATCTCTTCTGCTTTCTCAAGGCAAGTATATCAGGGATTTGCTTCATAGAACTAACATGGCTATTGCAAAAGCGGTTGCTTCCCTTATGGCTTCAACCACAAAACTCTCTAAAGTTGGTTCTGCTCAAGTTACTGATTCCACCTACTTCAGGTTTGTAGTAGGAGCCCTTCAGTATGCTACTATAACAAGACCTGAGATATCTTTTGCAGTCAACAAAATGCGTCAGTTTCTCTCAAACCCTCTTGAGGACCATTGGAAAGTTGTTAAGAGAATTCTTAGATACCTCCAAGGAACAATTTCACATGGTCTACTTCTCTTACCTGCTAATCTCACTCTGCCTCTCAATATCACGGGCCTTTGTGATGCAGACTGGGCCTCAGATCCCGACGATAGAAGATCCACTTCTAGAGCCTACATTTTCCTAGGTCCTAATCTTGTTACTTGGTGGGCAAAGAAGCATACACTTGTTGCCAGATCAAGTGCTGAGGCAGAATACAAAAGCTTGGCCTTAGCTACAGTAGAGATTCTCTGGCTCCAATCTATCCTGCAGGAACTAAACATCAGCCATCAAACTCCCAAGATACTGTGTGACAATTTAAGTGCAATGTCTCTAGCTCACAACCTTGTTTTGCACTCAAGGACCAAACACATGGAGCTTGACATTTTCTTTGTCAGGGAGAAAGTGATTAACAAGAACCTGATTGTTTCCCACATTCCTGCAGTAGATCAGTGGGCTGATGTGTTAACCAAGCCACTCTCCACTAATAGAATCTTGTTTCTTACAACCAAACTTAGAGTTGTTGACAAGCTCAAACTTGATCAACCACCCTAAGTTTGAGAGGGGAGTATTAGAGATATAAGGGTAATCTAGTAATAGCCTAGTAAAAGGGAATTAGACTAGTGTCTAATTCCATTTCTATCCCTTATCCTTTCTATATAAAGGAATTGTTGTAACTGAATCAGTTAAGGAATTACAAATTCTGTTATACAATCTCTCTCTCTCTTCTCTTTCTCTATACTCTCTCTCTCTTCTCTGGAACTGGAACTTTAACATAAAATACTCACAGAAGTATTCATCCACAGAAGATAAACAAAAAATGTTTTGATAAGATTTATAAATAACTTCAGCTCGATTACTTTGTAAGTCCCTATAGTTCTACTATTTCGTAATGAAGTTCTATACTATCATCATTTTAACTACATGAAATCACGCTTACATGGCATTTGTGATTGGTGGCATCCTCTTTTCCATGCTAATCTTCCTTTTATCTTTCATAACATAGTAAAGTAATTGTTTAATTATAGAAAGACAAAACTGTTCAATACTCTGATGATAAGCGTTTGTTAGATTTAAAGTATAAAATGTCACCAGCGATCCCAAAGAAAGAACACTTTTATTAAAAAATAGAAAATAACATGAGCAAGCTCTCCCTCAAGGGTTTCCCCTTTACAATAGAGTTGGTACTTTATTCACAAACAATTTACAATATTCAATGATATCAAGTTATCAATTCTACATTGTATTCTCCTATTTATACAAATAAAATAATCCTATAACAACCTCAACTAACTAACTAACCAACTAACGTCTATAACAATCGTTAACTACTTTACTACTCTAACTAACCACTATTCTACATCCTAACAATACACCCCTCCTCAAAACAACCTTGTCCTCAAGGTCGACAACTACTATATTCTTCTTGTAGGTGTAATACTATGATAACATGCATTGGTTTCCCTTTTGTCTTCAACATACTGGCAGCATTGTGCAGTATATCCCTATTTAGGATGATGACACCTGGATCCCAATTATTGAAGTACAAAAACCCATTCACCACTTTCTTCTTTGCTTCCAGCCTCATGGTTAACTCGTCAATTATTCTGCACACATTATATATATGCCCCACTTCTGACAGAAATAAAGCCACCTTAATTATAATGAATTTGCACACGTTCCACTATAATAGGCGTCAGCTTCATAACACTGCCTTCACCAACAGGTTCCTTAAAAGGAGCATCAAGCCAAAGAAACTTGAATATGCGCTTACCAGGCGATTTTGTCAACGTCGACCTGGTAGATATTGCTTTTGGATTTACATCTTGTGGTTTAGGCTCAAGAAAATCCCTTGTTGGTGGGCCAGAGTCCGGAGGCTTTGGCAAAGGCGGTGGTTTGAACCCAATGTTCTCCAACATCTGCAAATTCCGATCTTGATGTTTTGGCAATGAAAAATTGGTTCTCTTAAGGAATTGACGATGGTAGTGGAATCAGATTGCTTAGAGTACTATGAAGGAGTCGCGAGTTTTCCTCTTCTGACTCTACCACCGGCAAAGACTTTGAAAATGACCCATCATCACCAACCTTCTCCCCACTCTTCTTCATATCACCAAGAATCTGATCCTATCATTTCTTACTTCTTCTCTAGTATCTCCACCAATTGCTTCACTCCTTCTACGAGACTTTTTCTCCCCCTTTCTATTTGTTGCTTCAAGGTTGAAAGTCCTTCATCAACAATGTTATCATAGCTTGTTCTGAATCCCAGGATCAGATTTAAACAGAATGACGCACAATTTAAATACGGGTCCTCTTGACACCAAGAACTGAAACAGCGCATGACTTCTCTCTCCATGCTCATGAAAGCCCATTGCAACTGATAGAACTCGTGAGTTTCTTGCACCTCAATTTTTTTTCAGCCCTTACAAGCCATCCTACGGGGTCTTTCCCTATAAAAGTTGGTAAATTCACCCTTTGGGATGCCTCCATATCCAACAACACTAGCACTCCTCAAAGATCCGGCAGGTCGGACCAATTGTTAGGAACCCAAGAATCGGATTGCAAAAAAGAACACTTTTTATTTTTAAAAAAATGAATTAACATGAGAGCAAGGTCTCCTCAAGGGTTTCACCTTCACAATAGAGTTGGTACTCTATTCACAAATGACTTACAATTTTCAATGATATCAACTCTACATTGTATTCTCCTATTTATTCAAATAGCCCTATAACAACCTCAACTAACTAACTTCTATAACAACCCTTAACTATTTTAACTATTCTAACTAAATTCTATAACAACCCTTAACTACTTTAACTACTCTAAGTAACCACTACTCTACGTCCTAACAATATCCAAAAGGTGTAAGCCCTGTAGTTTGTATATGACAGTGAGAATTGATTTGCATGATATTTGCATATAAGTACTGATACAAAAAAGTAAAACAACTGATATATGTCCAATATACGGGTAAAGCTGATAATATCTTCCAAGGAATGCTATATCAAGTACAAGACACTGATTTCCATTATGCAAACTCGATTGTTCTCACAAATTTTACAATTGTTGTATAGGACTGCTAAACCAGATACAAGACACTTATGCTTATTTTGAAGTCTGAAACCCAATGCTAAGTTGAATGACAGTATCGCTGAGCTGCTCATTGCTGTTGTACCCTAGAAAAAATAAAAGGCTAGGTTGTTGTTGTACCCTAGAAAAAATAAAGGGACACGAGCAGGAGTTGAATAAGGATACATACTGAAATATAAGAGTGAAAAGATAAAAGCTCATAAAGTTCGTAACAGAAGGAGGGGAGAGAGAAAGAGAGAGGGGAGCAACAAAATTGGGAGTGATTTTCAGCCATTGTTGAGCTCTCATTTCCAGGAATATACAGATATTTCGTAACATTTTTCTTTGTTTGCTTACTTGTATTTCCTTCTAGTTTCTAATAGGTATTCACTATTCTGTCGAAATTCCATCATTTACTTAAATTAAGAAAATCCAGTTGTTTGTGAGGGCCCCACTAGCTCTATAATCTTATCAGCATAAATTACAATCTATGAGTGCAGAAAGGAATTAAAATGTAAACCAATGCAGTTTGCCTAGTTAAAAACAGTAAAAAAAAATCATTTATTTATAACTTTCGACAAAAATAAATGAACACACATGATACAGAAGCAAACAATCAGCATGTATATGGAATAAACCAAACAAGATAAAAGAAAAGAATATATATAAAAGAGTGAGAGAAGTTATTAATGAATTTGGTGCTCGAAGATGAACCACCAGCATTTCTTACTTGTGAAATACTTTCTGGAACTTTCATAGACCATATAATGGACCCTGAGATCGGATTTGACGTAATATGATATGTAAGCCCTTTTTCAGCAAACCTAGTAAGCAAATGGCCTGAAAAAAGGTAATAGAAGTTTCATGAGAAGATATCCATGTTAAAAATTATATCCAAACTTACCTCAGACTCATGAACTCAGATAAGCAATAGAAAATAAGTTTCATGAGAAAACAAACATGATTACGGAGTTACAAAGAAATTATCACGCGGTTGAGGATTCAAATACCAATAACCTACCTCCGATTGAACCTGATTCAACTACCTTTGCATCTATTTCTGCAACAATATATTTCATTGCAAGCTTCCCTTTTTCCCACTTTTGCTTTTCTTTCTCAATTTTTTTCAGTTCTGCAGCTTCAGCCTTCATAGCTGCTTTTCTTAACTTCTCTTGCTGAAGAACAATTGTAGAAGACCATAAGATATTATGATCAAAATCATGAATGATATAAAATATAAACACCAAACAATATACACTGAAACTCACTTCCTTCAGTAGTTTCTTTTCTTCCATCAAACGACTTCTTTCTTCTTTTGTCATCTTTGCTTTTCTAGTTGCCTTGTTTGTGCTCTTTGCAGAGACTTTGGAACTTTTCATATTGTCAACATTCTCTTCCTGCTCCATGCTCATATTATTCTCATTGGGATTCTCTTCCTGCTCCATGCTCATATTATTCTCATTAGGATTCTCTTCCTGCTCCATGCTCATATTTTTCTCATTAGGATTCTCTTCCTGCTCCATGCTCATATTTTTCTCATTAGGATTCTCTTCCTGCTCCAGGCACATATTTCTCATTAGGATAACCATACAACGAATAAAATAATGAGGGTTTTCTTAAATGCAGGGCGCAATCAGTATTGTTGATGGTGGTCCAAGGCAGAGAGCCAAAATCCTGCCATACAGGCCGCTTTGCGGCGCCATTATAGTGGATTATGGCGGAAAAACCCGCTATATCGGCCAATATTTACCATTGTAGCGAGCCCAAAAGCCGCCTTGTATATCCTCCATGGCGGACATTCGATAACACTGGGCGCAATATGTAAGAAGCATGCAAGGGAGAAAATAAAATAATGCACGTGCATGAAAAAGAGAGAATAAAACATTAGAGTCTTGTTCATAGTTCATTCTATTTACAGTTAGCTACATAGGTCAAACAACAAGATAATATCCTATCATAAATCATTTAAATTTTGACTATTCTTAAGGGTTTGTTCTCTTTCTTCCGTTAACTATTAGACTTTTTTCTACCTAATGTTTTCTCTCAATCACAGTTTTAACAGGTCTTCTCAACTAATACCTAAAGCGACTAACTGATGCGAGACTCTATCATCTTTTCTACAATAGGTGTTACCTTAAGTTTCTCTCTGATACTTTTTATTACTAATCTTATCATATCTTGTACATATGCATGAAAAAAAAAAAAAAACACACAAAATAATCATCAGAGGACTAACCACTTGTGAGGAGGTTGGATTTGAAGGATTGTCCCCGGAATTTTCAGCTCGAGAAACATCTTCACATGAAACATATCTGTCTGTAATTATCAATAACATAAACAAATAAATAAAGCATTTCATGCATTTAAAAACAAGTGTAACTTGTTAACACCGAACAACCATTTACCCGGAGAACTTCCATAACCATAACCAGTTGAATGGTAAGTCCATGTTGAATTTCCAGCAATTTCTTCATGAGAAGAACACCCCCTTGTTCCATTCTCATTCCAGTTTCGAATTTGAGAATTATCCAGCTCATCGTCTGATTCCAAACATATCATTTGACTAATTCCTGAACAACATTCAGCAGAAAATGTTAATATCTCAAGAATGAGCAATACTCCAATTTCAAATGCATTGATTGATAAAAATAACTAAGAATGAATGATATTAGGGTTTTTTTGTTGAAAAAAACAAAGAATAGGAAAATGAATAATGACCTGATATATTAGTAGGAGCAGAATCAGAAGGTCTAGTGCATTTGACGATTGCAATTTCGGAATCGAATAAAGGGGAGAATGGAGTATCGGGAACGATAGAAGGTATAGAGGAAGGAACGTGCTGCTTCTGTGGAGTGGGGTCGTCGTCGATGAGGAAAACGGTAGGGTTTGGATCGGGTTGTTCGGTTCGGCGCTTCTTAGAACGGAGATGGAACGGTGTTGTGGGGTCATCTTCGTCGGAGAGGATGATCGGGTCCATTCGAAAGAGACTGTGGCAGTTTAATTACCGTCTTCGAATAAGCGCGGGATCATCATTTCATCCTATGGCAACTTCATTTGTTACTACCCGTGTTTGGAGAAAACTTTTACTTTAACCCATAGACGTTGTAACTTGACACCCCCATACTTATGTTTTTTATAATATGTTTTTATTATTATACGTTTATATAAAATTATCAATTTAAAAAAAAATATAAGTTATACTAAAAATTTAGGAGTGTATTAGAAATTTTTGAAAATTTTAATTTTTTTTCAAAACTTTTGAAAATATATAAAAAATTTCAATATATTTGAAGAGGAAGATAATGTGTTTCTTCGAGTTACTCTGGTAACTGGTGTTGGTCGAGCATTGAAATCGCGTAAGTTAACGCCGTATTTTATTGGTCTAAACCAGATTCTAAAGAAGATAGGAGATGTGCCCTATCGGATTATTTTTCCACCGTCGCTTGCTAATCTTCATGATGTATTTCATGTATCTCAATTGAGGAAATACATTGCAGATCGGTCTCATGTGGTCAAAATAGATGATGTGTAGGTGAGAGATAACCTGGCTGTGGAGACATCACCTATACGGATAGAAGAACGAGAGTTGAAGCAACTTCGAGGTAAAGAGATTGTCTTAGTGAATGTAGCTTGGGGAGGGCCAACTGAGCGGAACGTGACTTGGGAGTTCGATAGTCAGACGAGGGAGTCATATTTTGATCTGTTCATTTGAGGTAACTTTCGAAGGCGAAAATCCTTTTTAAATATGGGAGAGTTGTAACACCCTAATTTTAGGAATTAGTTATATATATTATATTAATTAATTATTTATTTTATTTTGTGGGTAATTGATTTATTTCATTAATCAATATATGTGCTACGAGACGGGTTAGTCTGGTTAAATATGGGTAACCGTAGAATTATAGTTAGTTTTGGTGTCAGTTAGTAAATACTTATTTTATTAGTGATAATTATATAAAAATGATAGAATATTGGTGGTTGGGCCTATTGGGCGAGATGAGTAAGAGTAATGTGGAGGTGTGTTAGTAAGCTCGTTAGTGATTACTGGAGCTAGTACTTTGTAAGGGTTTAATCAAAAGAGAAAAATAGAGTTAGTAAGGGAAAAAGAGACAAAACTTAGAGAAAATGAGAAAGAAGAGAAGAGAAAACTAAGAAGAAGATTCAAAGAGTTTATTAAATCAAGGTAAGGGTGGATTTTTACTTGGTTATTGGGATTGTATGATAAGGTGTGATGGGTAGTAACGTGAATTAGGAACAATTTCTCTAATTTTTCATGTTTTGAATCCCTTAGATTTTGATTTAGAATCCATGAGATTGGTGTATAATTGTGTTGTAATACTAGTGATTATGTGATTGTGTTATATGAATAATATGATATGAAAACCACAACTTATTTTGGATAAAACAATGGATTTTTGGGTCAAAATCGTATGGGTGACGTGTTGTCATCGTGTCATACCCCAAATTTTTTCGACATATTTCCAACAGTCAAATAATTTTTAAAATTGGGTTTTATAAATTTATTTGTTTTATTTACACTAATATTTTGTGTTTTATAAATATTCGTTTTCAATTTATTTTGTCAATTTAAAATATATATATATATATATATATATATATATATATATATATATATATATATATATATATATATATATATATATATATATATATATATATATATATATATATATATATATATATATATATATATATATATATATATATATATATATATATATATATATATATATATATATATATATATATATATATATATATATATATATATATATATATATATATATATATATATATATATATATATATATATATATATATATATATATATATATATATATATATATATATATATATATATATATATATATATAAAAAAATAGTTTATTTTATTTCTTAAATAACAAATACTTGTTCGTCTTCATATACTTTCAATTAGTTTTTTATTTTGAATAAGTAATATAGCACAATTTGTAAGAAATAAAGCCCTTAAGTATAAGGTCATGGATTTGAATCTCACATGTTCTACTTTGAATATTTTTTGTTATTTGTGACTGATCGTACCTGATTAGAAGGGATTGTCAAGGTTCGTGAGCTTCAAGCAGTGGTTGAATGTGAAGTGGGGGAGGGGGGGGGGGGTACCTGCAAGATACTCTGATGCCAAAGTAAAGTTCAGAGTAAGTGCAAGCAAGTGTGAGAGTATGGGTGAATGATTAAATACAGAACCCTCTCAAGTGAGGAGGTATTTATAGTCCCCAACGATGGGCCAAGGTCTTTAGTTATTGGCCACGATGAGGCCCAACAACAAAGACTGTCAGAGTTTACGGGTGTATGGAGTCCAACACGTGGCCTCCTTCCTGGTAAACTGCCTTGAGAAAACAGGGAAATTGGACTCGTTATTCTCAGAGGACGGGATGATGATGATATGGACACATGAGTTATGTTCTCCTAGTGAACACGTGCGGAAATGCCCAATAGTCTTCAGTTTGGGATGCACGCTTTTGGGCCTTTGTAAAGGCGCCAAATTGTGCCTCCCTAATGGTGGGGCATGTTAGAGTAAGAAATCTTCTAATCATTTCTAAGTTTTGATGATAACAATTTTATGTGAAATTATATGTGTACATGTCAAGTATTATAAAATGCAGGTGTATCTAATGAAACATCAAAAGTCCCACACATACCAAATCAAAAGCATTCTAGCAAAGTTAAATAAAGCTTAGCATCAAAAGCAACGCTGACCAAAAACTCTAGAAACTATCAGTATAAAATCATATGATCAGAAACACATTCAAAAGATACATTCATAAGCATCGGATGAGAAATCACTTTTCTCGAGGCAAATACAATGATCACTTATCCCAAACAGTACCTTAGAAACATGGAAAGAAGTAAACACGTCCTCCAAAAGTAAAAATTATTATATCTATGAGGAAGCATGTATTGAGGAATGGTCTCAACGTTCCTAGCTAGCCCGGCGGCACTTTTCACAATGGCTATAAAAGGATTTCCATACTGTTTGAAAGAAGATATCACAACAACTACAAAAATGTGCTACAACATTTCACACATATGCTCAAATTCTCAATCAGTTACAAAATTCATTTACAATGAGTTGTTGCTCAAAAGTGTAACTTCATTAGATAGAAAATTTAGTATTTATCAGCTTTATAGAAGCATATTTTTGTAAACACAAAACAATGTTCTACGTGTAAGTTTGTACATTTTCTCAAGTGACTTTCTAGTCTATATATTAGAGAGGGCTAAGAGGTCTTTTTAGACTTTTAGATGCTATTGTGTAATCTTTTGAGATTAGTGAATTAAGTGAAATCACATTGGCGAGTGGACAAGAGGTAGTCTTAGTTTTAAGTTGAACTTGTATAAAAATAACTGTGTTATTTTTATTTGGTTTTCCTTTACAATAACTACTTATCATTATGTGCTAAGGGTAAAACAAGTTTTTTTAAAATAAATTTTAGAAAACTCAATTCAACTCCCTTTACTTGTGTTTTCTCTAACTTTCAATTGATATCAGAGCTTCGGCTCTGTCATTCATTTTCAAATCAAAGACTTAATTGTGTAGAGAGATTCAGGGAGTTAGAAAACTTCTTTTTCAAAATGACATCTACTAGCACAAATGAAAAGGATAGTTATAAAGTTAAACCACGTGTTTTCGACGGTGAAAATTTTGACTACTGGAAAGATTTGTTAGAAAGCTAATTTCTTAGTTATGATTTGGATCTCTGGGATCTAGTTATAGACGGATATACACCACCTGTAACAAAAGAAGGAAATCAAGTTCCTATAAGCGAGATGAAAGAAGAACAGAGGCAAATGCTCAGAAAACATCACAAAGTCAGAACCATTCTTCTGAACTCCATCTCATACAACGAGTACGTGAAGATCACAAATAGAGAATATGAAAAAGAGATTTTTGATTCTCTCGGAATGACACATGAAGGAAAATCAAAAGTAAAAGAAACAAAAGCCTTGGCCTTAGTCCAGAAATATGAAACCTTCGAGATGGAAGATGATGAGAAAATAGAAACCATGTTTTCCAGATTTCAAACACTTGTAGTTGGATTAAAAGTTTTGAACAAAGGCTATACAACTACTGATCACGTTAAGAAAATTGTCAGAAGTCTTCCAAAGAAATGGAGACCAATGGTCATTGCTCTAAAATTGGCTAAAGATCTGGATAACATAAGTCTTGAAGAACTAATCAGCTCCCTCAGGAGCCATGAAATATAACTGAAGGAAGATGAACCTTAAAAGCAAGGAAAAACAATAGTTCTCAGATCCATATCAGAAAGATTGAAGCCAACTAAGAACAAAGCATTCCAAACTGAAGAAGAACTCACGGAAAGGTATAAGGACGAAGATTCTGATGATGGGGAAGAGCTTTCTCTTCTCTCCAAAAGAATCAAACAACTCTAGAAGAAAATACATAATAGTTATAGAAGATTCAGAAACCACGATGATCTTCCGACTCTTTCTCTCGAGGCAAAAGTAGCAGGGAAGAGATGCGCTGTGAATGCAAGGAATCTGGACATTATAGAAATACTTGTCCAAAATTAAACAAGGAGAATTCTAGAAGAGACCAATACAAAAAGAACTCCCTCAGAAGCAAAAATAAGGGTCTTATAGCAATATGGGATGACTCTAATTCATCAGACTCAGAGACAGAAGATGAGCATACAAATCTGGCACTCATGGCCACAACTTCTGAAGAATCCTCATCCAACATAGAGTCTGACTCTAAAGGGGTATTTCTTAATTTCACACATTCTAAATTAGAATATTGTTTATCTGAAACCTTGGAAAAGTATCAGAAGCTTCAAAACAAACTCAAAAACCTGCAAAAGGTTCATGAGATTGGAATCGAAGAATACAACAAGTTAGAAAAGGAAGTTTATGTTCACAAAGAAAATAATTTAAAATTAAGCAATGAAATAATCT